GGGACCTGGGGTCCCCCCGCGTCCCCCGGGCACAGGGTCCCGCCGAGGCCACCAGCAGTTGCTGTTCAGGGTGAGGGAGCTGCAAATGTTCTTGCTTCCCAACCTGCCCACAAAAGGAGAAGAAGCCACACAGAGCCCACAGCCCCCTCAAAGGGGGACCCCTACCCCTCTGCTCCTGCCACTGTCCCCCCCCCCAATTCTATCCCCAGCTCCCAAAACAGCTTTTCCTGCCCCACGTTATCAGAGCTGCCTGAGCAAAGTCTACGGGGGGAGCTCCCGTGGGCTCTGGGGATGTTGTTTTTAATTCTCAGCCCTAAAATAATCCTGCAGATAAAAGGGTCCCAGGGGGGAGGTGGGTAAACGGTCCCAAGGGGGGAACTTGAACAAAAGAAGAGGCCAAAAGTCAATCCCAGGAGAGGAGGGGACTTTGTTCTCTTTCCCTTATAACACCCTGAGCTGAGGAACAACCAGCAAAAGCTCCGGAGCAGAGGGAGATGCCGTGACATCCCGGCAGCCGCCCGCGGCTCCTCCGTCAGGATCTCGGCCCCTTTCTGCTGATGTCACGGCACGGGGCCCCGCAGCCGCCTTCCCCGGGCAGTGAGCAGGCAGGAATCAGTGCCAGGGATTGCCGCCCTTCACTGGATCCTCCTCTTCCACCTCTTCCCTCCCCAGGACACCAGCTGGAAGGGAGCCCAGAGCCTTGGCCGCCCGGCAGACGGATGCCCCGGCAGGTGAGTGTGCTGCAGCCCAGACCACGGCTGAGCAGGAGACCCCCGGAGCGATTAATCATCAGGCAAGAAGCTTGGGAAACTCCATTTTGAGTTGAAAACTGCCTGGCTTCTGAGAAAGCCATCCAGTGCTGGGAAAAAGCCTGGAAATTTTGTGCATGCTGAGACATGAGGCTCTGCCTGTGCAGAGGGTGCTGCCTGAGATGGGTCTGGGGTGGCAGAGGGGGTGTGGGAGAGCCTGGTCCCCCCGGCGGAGAGCTGTCCTGGCAGGGGTGATGTGCCAAGGGGGAACGGCGCGGGGCCGGCCAGCGCATCGGGGAAAAATGCAGAGAAGAGGCTGTCAGTAAGTGTTTCCATCTGTGCCGTGGCTGGGGATGCTCGTCCCTGCCCAGGGAGGGGGTCTGCTGGGGGTTCTCGGGGCTCCTTCCTCGGGATGGCCACGCTCAGAGCACGTGGGGACACCAGGACGCATTGGGGATGCAGGCTGTGGGGAGCTTTTTGGGGTTCTCCCAGGCTGGGGGCACCCCTGGGCTGTGCTTTGGGGCACCCAGAGAAGTCCAGATGACTGTGGTCTGTACTGAATGTAATTTTCCCCAGAACCCTCGGTTTGTGCCAGGTTTAGGGGGAGGGATTGCACTTTGGAGGGAGAGGGAGAGGCAGGGAAGTTGTTGAGAGCAGCTTTTAGTGGTGCAGGGCGCTGGCGTGTCTGGACGTGCATCGGCACCTCGGGAGCCAGTCCCAGGAGGTGACGTGGGCCGGGCTCCTCAGGGCGGTTTCTGCCCCCACCACCACCACTGGGACACCGGAGCAGCAGGGTGCTGGCCCAGCGCGGCCACGGTGCTGCCATGGTGAGGACACGGCCAGGGTGGGAGCAGGGAAAAGCCATGGGGAGCAATGGCAGCTCCCACACCTCCACCAGTGCTGCGGGGATCACCGGGAACTGGTCCCATCCCCGTGGCCAAGTGACCCCCCTTCTCATCCCGCAGGGCCCGTCCATGGATGCCAGCAAGAAGGTGGATCTGAAGATAATTATCATAGGAGCTCTGGGGTAAGGAGCGGCGCTGGCGGTGGGAGGGAAGCCCAGGAGCCTTGGGGTGTGCAGCCCCTGTCCCTGCTGCCACCCACCCCCCTGAGCCTGGCTTCACAGGGCAGACCCTCACCCCTGTCCCTTCCCTCCCACCAGCGTGGGCAAAACCTCCCTCCTGCACCAGTACGTGCACAAGAGGTTTTACGAAGACTATCGCACCACCCTGGGTGCCAGCATCCTGACCAAAGTCCTCGCGGTGGACAACACCCCCCTGAAACTGCAGGTGAGAGGGGCTGGGACTGCCCGGGGTGCCCATCCTGGTCCCGTGGCACGAGTGTCCCACCATGTCCTGCTGTCCCCAAACACCTACTGGTGTCATGAGGTGCAGGGCTCGTGTCGTGTGTCTGTACCCGTGTCCTTCTCTGCCCTAGATCTGGGACACGGGGGGACAGGAGAGATTCCGGTCCATGGTGTCAACCTTTTACAAAGGCTCAGATGGCTGCATGCTGGCCTTCGACGTGACGGACAGGGAGTCCTTTGAGGCCCTGGACAACTGGCGAGATGACTTCCTGGAGAAGGTCATTCCAAGGGAGCAAGATTTCCCCATGGTTGTGCTGGGGAACAAAATAGACCTCTGCGATCGGCAGGTAATGGTGGAGGAGACCAGGGTGTGTGGGTTGGGATGCCTTGGTGCCCCAGCAGCTTGTGAGCGCTGCTCCTTCTCCTGCAGAACCAGCCTTCTGCCCATGCTCATGTGGAAACCAGGGCTCCCAGGCAAGGAGCCGCCCCCCCCCATGCCCCTTGGAGGCAGAAGCAGCATCCCCACCCCCACATGCCCCTTGGAGGCAGAAGCAGCATCCCCCCACTGCCCTTCACAGCAAACATTGTCCCCACTGAAGGCAACAGGAATTTAGCATCTCAGAGAGCTGCCTGCTCTGCCAGCACCCTTGGGTGGGCCAGGAGGGTCCTCTCCACCACCTCTCCAGCAGCTACAGCCCCATGCAGGGTTGGGTTGTGTTGTGGCTCCATCCTCCTTTCCCGCAGGTCCCCAAGGAGACCGCCTCAGCCTGGTGCAAGGAGAAAGACATCCCTTATTTTGAAGTCAGCGCCAAGAACAACATCAACGTGGCGGAGGCTTTTGAGACCCTCGCGAAGCAGGCGCTCTCCACGGTGAGCATCGCTCCGGGGCCGGCAGCGGGGACATCGGGTGGGAGCTGGACTCAGCCCCTGGTGGGACCTGACCCAACAGACCCTCAGAGCCCACCTCCTGATGCAGAACATCTTCTGTTCACCACAGAAGTGAGGTCCTGTGGGACAGCCCCAGGAAAGAGAAAGGCACCAGCGTTTGGTTTCTTAAAATAGATCTAAAACAAGTTAGAAAAGAGTAAGAATTGCTGTTTCTCTCTGCCCCTGGTGACAGGGCGTGCAGCACCACACAGCGCGCCAGCACTGTCCTCTAGTGGCCAGCCCTTGGGGACATCCATGTCCCCGAGCCACACAAGTGGGGTGGCCCCACTCCTCAGCTGAACCAGGATGGCTTTTCCCTGGATTTTGCCTTTAATCACAAATCAGGACTGAACCTGCGCTCCCTAGTCCTTCGGTCTGCTCAGGCTGGTTCTGATCTGACATCACTCACCCTTTCTCTTCTCTTTTTTTTTTTCCCCAGTATAAAGGGATATTTGAGAGTTATTTAACCGACTCCATCAAACTCACTCCCAACGACAAGCCCAAGAAGAGCTGCTGCTGACCCTGGGCACGCACCGCGCTCCGGGCTGTACTGGATGAGCAGAGCCTGGGGGTGATGGACCCCACGTTGCCCACGGCTGGAGCTCTGCCTGGAGGGGGGGTGTCCATACCCCCTGCCCACCCCAGCCCGGCCACAGAAGTTGGCCAAGCCGGGGGACAGAATGGCCACCACTTGATGCAGGTACCTGCGCATCCCGGGACTTGCTGCTTCCCACGTCTCCGGAGCTGCTCTCCCAAACCAGGAGCCTCCCAAATCACCGCTGCGTCATGGTGGCCCCGTCCCCCTCGATCCGCTGCCACCCGGCACCCGAGCGGGCCACCCCCCTGCAGTGACGGTGCTGCTGATGCTTCTCCAGAGACCATGACCTTGTCCCCACGGGTGACCCTTCCTGGTGCGTGGATGGGTGGCCCCACGGTGCTCGCGGTGCATCCGGGCTGTCCCGGGGCTGGTGGCCACGGCACAGGTCTGAGAGCAGCCGGGTCCCCTCCCGGGGTCAGCCGCTGCCGACGTAACCGTCCCGTGCCTCAGTTTCCCCTGCTCTCATGCACACCCCCCGTCAAACACCCTCCGCCTCCCGCCTCACTGGTGAGGATCCTCAGTAAAGCACTTTGTCAGGGACTCTTTTTTTTAGAAAAAAAAAAAGGAAATTAAATATTTCATTTTTATTTATAGATGCGTGCGGCAAAACACTCCTGTGGCCCAGCAGCAGGAGGATGGGGTGGGGGCTCCAGGCTCTTCTGCTCTCCTGTGGGCTTTCCTCTGGCAAGACCAGCAGCTCTGAGCCTGTGCCAGCTTCTGGGGGCAGGAGGATGCATTTTGGGGCTGGATTATATTTTTTTTTCCAGTGCAAATTTTGGGTCAGGGGCTAGAGAGGAGGTGTGTGGGATGTTGTGCAAAGTGGGTGTGCAGTGGTGGCGTGGGGACCTGGCCGGGGCGGCTGTCGGCAGAGGGAGCCCGATGGGAGCCCAGCCCAGTGGCCGCTTCCCTTCTTGCATCCATCTGGCTCTGGCTTGGACACCTTCCAGAAGCCGGAGCTGGCCAGAGGGGCGGCCGTGGCCACCATGTGCCACCTTCCCTGCAGCCTCAGGAGCCCCATCCCTGGGGCTGCAGCACCCTGCTCACTGCAGAGCTGTAGGAATGGAGGGACTCGGGGAGACCCCCAGCTGGACAACCTCCATGGGACCTCCTGCCCTCTCGCCACCCTTCCCCAGACCCACCTACACTGACCCCACCGGTCCCACAGAGCTTCCCCAGGGCCATGGGGGCTCTGCCCCGGCATCACCTGGACCCTCCATGAGCAACGTCCCCCTCGTGGCTCTTCCCCACCCAGGACCACCGAGCGGTGACACAGGCTGGGGAGAGGACCCACCGGTGGTGGTGGCAGGACACGGGGCCAGGGGGTGCGTGTGGGCAGGGTGAAACCTGAGCGAGAGCTCGGGGGGCCGCAGTGCAGTAATTAGCCTGCCAGGCTCCGCAGAGGCACGTAGAGATCTTCCCACCCTCCTCCTTACGCAAGGCTCAGCCTGTTTATTTGGGCACCACGCCGCGGGAGAGGGTTTGTCCCTTAATATTGGGAGGAAAGGGGCATTAACTATTTCCTCCCTGAGCTCCCCACACCCCTTTCCCCCTGTATCCCCAAGGCAGCAGGACAAGCTGGAGCCCCCCTCGTGCTCAGCATCACCTGTGGGATGCAGCCCCCATCCTGGCACAGCTGGACCGAGCATCAGCCAACGCACTCAGCCGGTTTGTTTGGACGGCGGGTGTTCACCCGTGTCAATAGTGATATTCTTTCTAATTCCACCCTTTCTCCAGCAGCTCTCAGTGCTGGAGGTGGATGCAAACTCCATCTGTTTTATTCCAGCGAGCAGCAATTTGGACACCCAGAGCTCAGCAGGTCAAATAAATGCACTCGGTGGAGTGGGTGCTCCCTCGTCCAGGGCTGGTGTGTGCCCAGGGCTGCTGCTGGTGCCAAAGCCCACGAGCAGGAGCTGGAGCCAGGCAGGAGCTGCTGATTTGGCTCAGGGACTGTGCAGAGTGGGCTGGAGTGTGTCACAGCACCCAGTCAAGCTGGGGCCAGACCTTTGATCATGGGCACAGCTTGCTCCAAAGCCCTTGACTCTAAAACGCTGGGCTTGAACTCAGCGATGGAGAATAGCAGGACCCAAGCACTTGTGTGGCCATGGAGCATCATTCCAGAGACAGGAATTAAGGCTGCATAGGAGATTGCATCTTGGGAAGCTGGCAGGATCTCTAGTGGAGTCACCACCCTGTAGAGACCCTGGCTAACGCACCTCCAGATGTGCAGCACCATGGCTGGAGCCCCCCACAACCATTCAGCCTTTCTTCTCCCTCCGTCCCTCCTGGGTAAGCTCACCGGTGTGGTCCTGCTGATCCTGCCTCAGGATGGTCGGGGTCAGCCCAGGAATTGTCCCTCCAGGAGGATGTGGAGACTGGGGGGGGGGTGGCACGGCGCCAGGCAGGATGCTGGCAGGAGCAGCCAGAGGTGCTAAGCTGGTAACACTATCCCCCAGCCGAGAGGGGATAAAGGACAAGGGGGAGGTTTGCGACACGTGGGATTAACAAGGTCGGCTGGAGATTTTCTCAGGGTGAAAATCAAAGGGGAAAAATATTTGCCTTTGCGTGACTCAGTGAGTTCCTGCGAAGCCAGCGGTACCAGCTCACCCCGGCGGGGCACCGGCCCACGGGGACAGTCAAGAAACCAAACCAGCCTGAGCTCTCCCCCTCCCGCTGTCCTACCCCACACGGCTGGATTTAATAAACCAAAGATACTTCCCAGCCATGATGCTGGGCTCGGCGCTTCACTCGGCCAGGCTGCACCTCTGCCCTCACAGGTTTGCTTTCACTGATTGAATCTACGCCCAAAAATCACTAAAACCCCAGCCTGAGGATGCTGAGCACCAAACGGAGACCATCCCTGCCCTGCAGCACCTACAGAGCAGAGGCTGCCCTCGGGATTTGCAGAATTAGCCCCTGATGCTCCCTCCAAGTCCAGAACTGCAGTTTCCTTCAGCATTTCTAAGGTTTCGTGACTCCTAACAGCTCTCCCACCCTCCGCCATCCCTCCCAGGTGCTCCAAAAATGCAGCGTGAGCTCCCTTTTATCTCGTGGGACCAGTCTGGTTGTGTGCTGACTGGTTCCAGCTGTGGGAGAGTCTGCTTCGAGCCCGGGGATTTGCCTTGCAAACCACCCCTCAGCAGGGCTGACCCACAGCAGCTCCTCTGCAGCCTGCGGGGACATCCCAGCCCCCCGGGGACAGCCACCGGTGTCCCTCCACCCCAGCCTGAGGCACTGGGGCTGGCTGGGATTAAATTCTCTTCCTCAACCTGCAAGCGTTAAAATGAAGCAGCTTAAAATCTGCAGAGCAGATTTTAAAGAAACTCAAGTTTTCCTGTTCTGAAGGAAGAGCCCCGTTAACCTGGAGCTGGGATTGAGAGCAACCAACGCTCCAAACACGACGAACCCCAGAGGCTTGAAGTTTCAGGTAACCTCTCCAGAGCTGCAAACATGAAAAATAAGGCTTCGGGCAAAGTCTCACCTCTGCCCTTTGGTGCCACCGGGCAGCAGGTCTGGAGCTGCCTGGGGAGCGTGCCAGCCCATGGTTTTGCTGGCCACACGTGCCGTGCTTGGCCGTGCCCGGTCCCTCTGGCCAGTGGCAGCCCCAGCCCCGTGTGGGTCCCGTTTGCTCATTAACGAAGGGTTTGGAGTCGTGGTGTGGGATGGAGCCGGGCACGGAGCGACGCCGGAGCATCCCCCAGGGCGCTGGCACCGCTTGCCCTGCTGCACACGAGCACTGCTGATGCTATTCATTATTTCTTTGTTTCCTCAATCATTGCCCCATTATTCCACCTCAACCCACCAGCAGTGAACCCCTTGCAGGTGACACTAATGGGGTTTGTGTCACTGTCCCCCCTCGACATCTAGGGACACAGAATTAGCCCCCTCTTGGAGCAGAGTCAGGTGGGAGCGGACGCCGTCCCCTCGCCCTCTGCTTCGTTGACCATCTACTCACGGCAAATATTGATGCTTCTCCTTCAAACCCACCACATGGGAGGTTTTGTCACCACTTCCCACTCTGACAATCCCGTGGTTCTGTGATTCCATGATCCCAGCTGCAGTGAGTGTCCCTGTGAAGGGGTCATGCGGGGCCACAGGGCTCTCCCTGGCCCCGGGGGCTGCGAGCAGCGGGGAGGGGGGACACGGCAGGTCTGCAAGCCAGCACGTAGAGAGGATTAGGGGCTGTGGCCAGGCCCCCAGTCAGCCGAGGTACCTGCTGAAGTCAGCAGCCAGCCTGAGCTCCAGGCGTCCCCCAGCCGGGTGAGGGACAGCAGTAAAGTGCAATCTGCTGGGACTGGGGGGGAGTTTGCTCCAGCCAGTCCGTCAGGGGGCTGCTCCAAGGTCCCGTGGGGCACTAGGTATGGCAGTGCTCTGCTTGGAGGGCTTTCCACCCCTCACCACAGTCGATGGGCATTTTGCAAAGCCCTCCAGAAACACCAAGAGCTGTGGTGAGGGTCCCGTGCACGGGCAGGGGATGGGCAGGAGTAACGGCAGCAAAAGCAATATGGAAAAGTCCATGAAGGATGCATTTCACCAGGATGGGATGGCTCCCGGGGCAAAAGGCCAGCCCAAGGCCAGGCATGGGTGGTGGGCAACTCGGTGGTGACCAAGGTAGGACCAAGCAGTGGTGCCTCCTGTGGGTAGACATTGTCTTCGCTAAGGAATTTGGTGCTATCTGCACCTGGAGCAGCTTCAGCCTCCAACTGATGTCTACCTGCTGTCCAAGGAGGAGCTCACTGCCTCCAAATTCCCTTGCTTTTGGCTTGAGATGGGCCAGACTCTGTCCTGCCTGAATGAGCAGCTCCTCAGAGCATGGACAGATGTGAACCACAGTCAGCAAGGGGAAAGTGCAGACATAACTTCTCCTTGCTGTGCTGGCTGAGCACCCTTGGGTCTTGCAAGCCTCTGCATGAGGCCACCAGCATCCCTGGGGACGTGGCCAGACCAGATCAGGAGCCAGGGATGTGGACCAGGAGCCGTGGACCATCCTCTGAGCTCTGGGCGAGTCGCAAGGCAGGGAATCTCCCACCAGATTTCACCCAGGCATCGCATCCCTCTGGCCTGAAATGATTTATTCAGTTTTAAACGCCCGCTGACTCTTTCCAGCCAAGCCTGAGCTGGCTCCTGGCCTCGTGCCACCGGCTCCCGGCCATGGCTGCGGCACGGCAACACCCTGCCTAAAACTTTTGGAAAAAAAAAAAAAAAAAAGGACAAGCAGGCTGTCGGCGCTTTCATCTAAAAGCTGGATCCTGATCTCTCTAACCGGGGGCGACAGGACCTCCCATCCTGGCTTTAAACACCTGGGTGCTCCTGAAGATATTGACCTCAGAGCCCTGAACAATGAGACGTTTTATTTTCCCGGCTTATCTCCCATCGCTGAGGTTTGAGCATTTTGGCCTTAATGAGTTGCCCAAGGCCACACAGCAGGCGGCCACGTACCAACGTGAGGGCTCCTGCTCCCCCAGGACCACGTTCAGTTTTTGCCCACAGCCCCCCCCCCTGCTTTGCACCACCTTGTACATACTCTGCCGTCAAG